GCCTGCTCTCCCCCCCCTCCCCCGGGGCTTGCCTCCAGCCACCACAGAGCCAAGAGAGCAGGCGTCCAGACACCGACACTGTCCAAGGAGTTTCCCGTGGCTCTGGCTCCGGTCAGCCATGTGTGCTAGCACCCACCTCCTGCCAAGGTGGGCATTTGGGCCAAAGGGAGCCATGGTGGTGGAGTGGGTCCCCTGTGTGTTCCCCTGCCTGCGGGGAGGGACATCTGCAGCACCCAGGGCTCAGATGGCCAGGAGCGGCGCGCGCTGCTCGGTCATGCAGGGAGGCAGGTCCCAGCTCAGGCCCGTCCCGTGGGGCAGGTGAGGAGAGGGCAGCAGGACACGGGTGAGCCAGTGCCTGTGGGGAGAGGAGTGAGACCACAGCAAAAAGCTGAAGTCTTGGTGCTTCTCAGCTCCGCAGAGCTGAGCCAGGGCTGTCAGCCTGTGTCCCTGAGCTGCCACGATGGCCGAGCTCCTCAGCCGGGATTCTTTTTGACAAAGGAGCGCTGGGTAGGCCGGAGCTTGCCACCGGGCAGGGCTGAGGAGCCACAAGGCAGCTGATGCCTGGGTCCTCCGTGGCTTGCAAAACCCAGAGCAGTGCACAGCATGGGATGCTCGCTGTCCTGCTCTGCCCCAGCTTCCCAAGGACAGCCCCAGTGTCCCAGCACCCCCCGCACACTGCTGAGCCACCACCTGCCCGGGCAGGACTTTACCTTGGCATGTCCACACCCAGGAACAACTTCCAGTTATCCCAGCTGCCGTAACTATAGGGGTTCCTGAAGACCTGCAGGCCAGGGAGACGCACATCACATCTGGCTCTGCTCCAGCCAGCCCTCCCGCTTTGCAGGCTGTGCTTACCTTGCCTTTCTTCTGCAGCCTCTGCCTCTCCTTCTTGTTGATGTGCCGCTCAATACTGGTTTCCCCACGGGTGATGAGGGCAGCGTGCCACAGCGTGAGGGCACCCAAGGCCAACGCAACTGAGCTGGAGACGGCAAGGGACAGCAGGTTGCACGCAGGCCCTCATTCCCTGGTGCCACAGCTGTGGAGGGGCTAAGGCTCCCTCCCGGCTCCCACAGATGTATAGGTGGGTCAGCTTCTCTAATGCCCTGTGACAGACCTAAAATCTCTCCTCTTCTGTGGTGCAAGAGCTGGCAGGGCAAGGACATCTGTGCTAGAGCAAGCCAGCCTGGCCCCGAGGATGCAGAGGGTGAGCAATGTCACAGGGCAGGGGGCTACACGCTGCTTCCCCCAGAACCCTCGCTCCCAGCCCCTGAGCCCCCTTACCTGCAGAGGACCCAGAGGTAGACCATGCTCTTGTGGAAAGCTCGCTGGCGGAAGGAGAAGGTGGGTGGCGGGGTCTGGTAGTACGTCTGAAAAAGGACCAGAGAGGGGGTGATTACACAAACTGCTTTATAGCTTGAAGCCAGATGGGGGACTGCCGCACTCCTCACTGATGCAGAGCTCAGACAGCTAGAAAGGACTGCGGCTGGAACCAACACAACAGCCAGGGTGATGGGGAGGCAGACACCAGACAGACAGACAGACACCTGAGCTGGCACACAGGTGAGAAGCAGTGGGCTGGAGGTAAGGGGGCAGGCAGCAGCTGTGGGACCGGTCAGGACACCGCACCACACCACAGCTAGTGCTCAGGGCAAGATGTGCACGCCCTGCTGTAGAGCAGGCCCTGAGCAGCGCATGCTGAGCAGCTGCCACCAGCCAAAGCCCCTGGAAGCTGGGTGCATAGGGAAGCAGACCCCAAGCTGCTGGGAGCAGTGCCCATAGCAGAGCTGCCCGGCCAGCCCCAGCTCTCTGACACACAAGATGACCATGGGAGCTGGTTCTGGCTGCGGGGTGCTCCTTGAGAGCAGGGCCCCAAGCAGGACCCAGCCTGCAGGTCAGCTCTGCTCCACACTGCCTGGAGCAGCTGGGGGACAGGGATGTCCCACCTGGTTGGCAGCCACCTGCAGTCTCTCCTTCTCAAGCAGTTTCATTCTCTAGGGGGATGGAAAACAGGGCACCAGTTACATGTCTCAGAGGAGGGGGCCCCTCCATCTCAGCCCCCCCGCAGGACCAGGGCAGCTGGGGGCCTCGCAGGAGAGAGAGGGGAAGCAAAGTCACTACAACACCAGGCCTGGCCCAGCCTTGTTCTGCAAGCTCAGCCTGGGCAGCCCAGGCAGCCTTGGTGCATGGCAGGGTGAGGGCTGGGGCGTGCCCGCTCACCTCGATGGCTGCGTAGGCGTCCCGGAACATCTCCCAGCCGCTGATGCTGCAGTAGATGCAGCCCATGGTCATGAACAGGCAAAAAGAGAAGAAGTAGCGGTGGTTGTAGTGTCCCACACAGTTGTTTAGCCAGGCTGCCTCTGGGGTTAAAGGTATGTAACCATGACAGATCACGGGCCCAAACCCACCCCAGGGACCAGGGTGGTTCTTCTGGGCCCAGCCCCCAACACCCTTCCCTGTGCTGGCTGACTCAGGAGAGGAGTAGGGCAGGGAGAGAAGGGGGAAGCAAGGCCAGCTCCCGCCAGGAGAGCGCCGCGGGTTAGTACTGCAGAAGGATACGGCAGTGGTGGTCCATCTTCAGCACACACCTGGGAGGGAGGAGAGCAGCAGTGTCAGTGCCAGCACAAGCACTGTGTTTGGAAGGGGGCTGGCAGCCCCCCCCAAGCCCTGTAAGCTGTGTGAGAGACAAGGCAAGAAGCTGGCAGAGCAGAGGCGAAGAGGCCCTGGTCTCGCAGCATGGGAGGGGGCAAGGAGAGGTGTCCCAGAGACTGCCCCGAGTGCTGCGGTGGGCACAGGGAGGGGAGCCCTACCTGTTGCAGATGCTGCAGTGGTGTGTGCGAGCCGGCTTGGGGGCAATGCATTTCCTGCAGATGGAGACGCCGGTGAGATCGTCCTTGGCCTGCGCACAGGTCAGAACATATTTGTGCACCCAAGCGCTGCACATGTCCCCTGCTCCCCACGCTCCTCACCTCCTTGGTGACCCCCCCACCTCCCCACCCCGCACTGCCCAGCCTAGCTGCCCCAATCTGGAGGAGGCTCCCTCCAGTGACGCCACCAGGCTGGTTTAGACGTTCCCAGTGATAGTCTGTAGCTGGTCCCCAGTGCCCAGCTGGGAGAGGCTGTGCTGCTGGTTGGTGTCTCACCTGTGGTGGGTGCCCAGGTGAGGTGGTGATGGCCATGTAGTAGTGGAAGACAATCATGATGAGGTTCCAGTGTCCATAGGCGAGGTGCCAGCAGATCCAGGCAGGTGTGTAGGTCTGCAGGATGAGGGGCAGCAGGCAGATGTAAACGATGGCCACGATGGAGCTTGTCAGCCCGATCACCAGTGCCACAAACACCTACGAGAAAGGGGCCTGGGTCATCAAAGTGGGCAGCACTTGCCCCTTGCTGCCTGGGGAGAGGCATGGGCAGGATAGGATCACAGGAAACCAAGCTGAACCACACACTGAGGTCCTCATGCCCTTCCTGTCTAGAACACAGGCAGCCCCAAGACTCAGTTGCCCCAGCAGCATGCTCGCCCCAGCCCCCACAGTCAGGTGCCCCCCTGCCCGGGGAGGGTACTCACCACACCAAACCACCGGGTGACGTGGTCCACCAGCCAGTACACGGGCTCGAAGAGGGAGTCGAGGACCACGTCGCTGTTGGTGAAGGAGTTGTAGAGCAGGGAGCGGAGGCAGAGGTGCCCGTAGTGCCACAGCTGCTCCGCCTGCCGCACCAGCTTAAACCGTCGCCGCCGGCCCAGCCGCAGGCACTTGAGGAGCAGGCGCATCACCGCTGCAAACATCCGCTGCCGGCTCCTCATCCCTGCCACACCACGCCTGGGGGGAGAGGAGCTCAGCGTGGGCAGGCCACCCTGCTGCCTGGCTGTCCCTCAGGAAGGGTCTCCCCTCCCGGATGTGCTGATGCCGGTCGCACAGCTCCCTGCACCGACTCTGCCAGACGCCCGCCTGCACAGCACGGCAGGGGCCTCTCCTTCGCCCTGCACAAGGATGCAGAGCAGAGGGTGCTGAGCCCAGACTCTTGGAAGCTGTGGGGCCACTGTTGCTGGGATGGCTCTCTGCGTGGAGCGGGGGGCACAGGCCCCTTGGCGTCTGGGCTCAGATGCTCTCTGGTCCCATCTCGTCTTTCCCAGCGGGGAGGGGGCCGGGGGAGCGACATGGAGAGTCTGACTCAGAGGAAACCAGAGAAGGCATGAGCATCCAGGATGCTGGGCCAGTTCCAGGGACGATCCCAGACCCAGCCCTTCCCAACAGGTTCAGGAACAGGGGAACCCACACAAGATGTATGTGGAGGAGCCAGGCCAGGATTACTGCTCCTCCCCTAGTCCCTCTCCTCACCCCCAAAAAGCAGGGCCTGGATGCTACTTCCTTTCACCTCAACCTCTGGAGCAAGCTGCAGAGGCCACCCCACACCTTTCCCAACCTCGCAGCCCCACTCCGAGAGTCCTAACACTTCCTTCTTCCCACCACCTGGATCCACCTTGGACTACACCATGCACCAGTGAAGGAGCGGCCGGGGGGCAGTCCGAGGCCAAGGCGATGCTGTGAAGTGCTCCCCTGCCTGCTGAGCCCCTCGTCCTACCCAAGAGCTGCGCTGGGAGCAAGGAGCAACTCGATCGGGTCCAGCAGCCGGGAAAATGATCTGCAGGGCTGGGGCCCCCAGGCCTCTGTGGAGGCAGCGCCCATCAATATTAAGCAGCAAGGCTGCCCCAAGGTCCTGCCAAGGCACGTTCTGAGCCTCGGCCAAGCACTCGCCTGGCATGGTGCCAGGCAGTGGTACCACACCGCAGAGTCCCTCCAGTGGGGACCGGCTGCCTGTGCTGCTGTACCCACTGCACAGCCCTCGGGTAGCAGTACGAAGAGTAAGGGAAGGAGCTGCAGCATCCATGGGCTGTCCAAAGGAGCCACGGGCTCCCCTCTGCCCTGCCAGATGAGCGTGGGGCTGACCGTGAGGCTGGGAGCAGCTGAACACAAGGACAGCAGACCCACCAGCCCAACCCAGGTCATAGGCATGGCTCCTGCTCAGGTTTCCTGTACCCTGGTAAGGGAGAGGTGGGATATGCAAACCCCAGCGCCAACCCCTTCTCCACATTTCCCCTTGACTCTGCCAAGAGCTTTCCTCTGAAATATATCAGGTGCGAAGTGGAGCAACAACTTCCGGCTGTGCAGCCTTTGGGTGGCACACATCCCCATGTTGTCAGTGAGGTAAGGGACAAAATGCTGCAGACAGCAGCAGGTCTTGGGGTCAGCCCTCCCCTCCAAACACACAGCACCTCTCTGCCCCTCAGAAATGTTTCCTCGCCTACAACAGCCAGCAGCTGAGCCCACAGGGGAGGCAGCCAGCCTGTCCCAGGGCAGGACCCCGCTCTGTGCCCAGGCACCTGCCTGCAGACAGAAGCACAGCCACAGGGATGAGGCTCCAGCAGAGCCATGCACCCTCCCTGGCCCAGTCAGGCATCGGGGCTCCAGCCCTCACCCTGCCCACGGCCCTCCCCACATCCCAGTGGGGCACTAAGCCCATGGGG